CATTATCTTTATTTAGCCTTTTGCCTGACCTATTTTCAAAACCTGGAGGCGGTGACATGGGACCTGACAATCCTATAAACCAAAAACTGGACGACCGTCATCCCACCCCTTTTTCTGTCCGCTCTAGCTGAGCTGTGGCAGAACCCGGCCTGCAGGGGGCGCTAAGGATTCACTCAGTCGACAAAACTAACCGAACTCTTCAGCGAATTGCCCTAAGCACCGAGGTTAGTTTTCATATTTTATTTAACAGGAACGAGGTTTTCCAAACCTAAAGATTTCTGCACACCGCTCCCCACCCCATATGCAATCGAGGAAAGAGAATTACATGCATTGCTCAGCACCAGTTCTTTGCATTGTGACTTTGGAGGGTTAGAGCTCCTTTCAAATTCCTTTGTTTTGAAGATAAGCAAACAGGTTCTGGGAGGCTGGGACTCCACTGGGGGGCGGGGATTCAGTTTGGGTGATAAGGCTAAAAACCAACACCTGAGCTGCCTGACTCCTGAGAAATGCTCTTCAAAGATAGCAGGCTCCGCTTCTGAGAGTCTGTGGATGTCCTACTCCCTAACGCACATCTCCAGGGGACGGTATATACCCAGGGTTGCCTGTGGGGCCCACAGCTCAGGAGCTGTCAGCTCGAGCAGGGAGGGTCCCGTTCAGTTGCTGCCCAGCGAACAATTGCGTGGATGTGTGAAGAAGCCTTGGAGGTGGGTCTCCTTTGGCTTCATCAAACCAATCGGAATGCGGCTTCTTTCCTGAAAGTTCCCCCGGGCACAAACTGTGTTTTGACCTGGTGTAGGGAGGAGACAACTTAAAAAAAAAAGTTTAGAAAATGACATCTGCGGTGATGAATCACAACCTCCCCCCAGGACTGTAGAATAAGATCATTAAAGTGAAGTGGTTCCAGAATTTGAGATCAGAAGATTAATTCAGGAAGAATCAATACAGAACAGATGAGAATCCTACTAGAGTGATAATCGGAGAGAGGTTCTGAAGCTGAGGAAATCTCAAAAACATTTCACATCTAATCTACAGGTGCCTGTGTCTTCAAGACTAGAACGTGATTGAGAAATAAAAATAGCTTTGGCCAATCAGCGGCCTCAGTTTCACTGATGCAAGAGTTGAGAGAGTATGGCAACAGGAGGGGAGGCCGGACTGAAGCAGAAATGGGGGGACGTGGCCAGCCATTGTCACCGGGCCCTTCAGCCCCGCCCCTAGTACTTCCAGAGCCCAGCTCAGCGCCTGGTACACCAGATGTGGTCAGTTCTTTCTGAATGAGAGCAGGGACTTGCTCCGGTAGAGCCGGTTCAGTGATTCATTTTCTCATTGGTTGCCTCCACTCAGGTTCCAACTGCCCCAGCCATCTCAATATGATAACCTGACTTTCATGGAAACCCTCCCACGGAGAAGTGCTGGCCCATCAATTACAGGCCCCGGACAGTTAGGTTTCTCACTCCCAATTAATCTATCTGCTTCAAGCATCACTTACAGGTGGCAGCCTGCTCCTTACATGTTCACACCCTTCTCCCATCACTGGTGTGGTGGAGTTTCTTCTGTGGAGTCATCCCGCCTCTGAAGTGTTAGCATATTACTAAGCTACTTGACTGTGGCCAGCACACCTCTTGAGCCTCAGTTTTCTCATCTGTCAAACTGGGATATGATGCCTACTTCATGAGGCAATGGTGACAGTTACCTGGCACCATGGACATAGCCTGGATTCTTACTGGAGCTCAGTAAATGTTAGTGTCTGTGCCTCTTTCTTTCTTTCCTTGGAGACTGGGTCACAAAAGATCATGCAATTTAGAATATCAGGGGCTGGGGATTTAGCTCAGCGGCAAAAGCGCCTGCCTGGCAAGCGCAAGGTCGTGATTTCGGTTCCCGGTACCGGAGAAAAACAAAAATAAAAATAAAAATAAAAAATAAAAAAAAAATAGAATATCAGTATCTTTTGCTTTTCATTCTCATAAAATCACAGACTTTGTAAGTGAAGCTTTGGGGATGATTCATTCACGTCCCTAGATGTTCTAAAAGGTTACTCCTACCAGGAGGGTAACTCATATACATTCAAAAATATTTACTGGGGGCCTAGGGTATAGTTCAGTGGTAGAGTGCTTGCTTAATATGCACAAGACTCAGGTTTGATCCCCAGAATCATTTTTTTTTTTTTTTCTTTCTTTCTTTCTTTTTTTTTTTTTGGTCTTTTTGAGACAGGTTCTCGCTATGCAGTTCAGGCTGGCCTGGAACTCACTTTGTAGCCCAGGCTGGCCTCAAACTTGCAACGATCCTCCTGCCTCAGCCTCCTGAGTGCTGGGATTACAGGCAAGCACCACCATGACCAGTGTTTGAGTCCTAAATTTAAAAAGAAAAGACAAAAAAAGAAACATGAGTCAGGTGTGGCGGTGCACCCCTATAACCCCAACACTTGGGAGGCTGAGGCAGGAGGATCTCTGCGAGTTCGAGTCCAGCCTGGACTACAAAGTGAGCTCAAGCCCAGCCCGAACTACATAATAAGTCCCTGTCTCAAAAAGACAAAAACAAAAACACTTAGGACTCACTAGATGCTAGTGAGGGACACAGAGACAATTAGATGCAGTTCCTTAAAGAATTCTGACACAGCCTGGTGCCCTCAAAAGAGGACACTGTGTGACTTTTACAAGCAATTTTACCTACTGAGTTGCACTTCCCTTGCTTTGTACTAATGGTCAATAACATTCCATCGTTAATTGGAGGAAAGGAGTAAGGCACATAGAAGTGATAATGAAGCTAAATTAAGTTTGGAAACCAGTGGCATAAAAAAGGTAGAATGTGTTGAGGAATGGCTGGGATTACTTTTAGCTAAACCGAAGAAGCAAAACTTTGGGAGGAAGTGGCATTTGAACAAAGGTTTCTTTCATCCCACAAACAGGCATACAGGCCTTGAATGCCAAGTACAATTCCAGTGGGCAATGATTTGCAAAACAGGTTACTGAAAGCAAGTTTTGAAGGCCAGACAAGGACTATGGGTGTGGCAGGTGATAAAACTACTTTCTTTGTGGGGGAAGCAGTGCTTGGGATTGAACCTAGGGCCTAGGCAAGTGCTCTGCCATTGAGCTACAACCTTAGCCCCCTCCCTCCTTTTTAGACAGGGTCTCACTAACTTGCTCAGGCTGGCCTTGAATGTGGAATCCTCCTGCCTCGGCCTCCCAAGTAACTGGGATTACAAAACATGCACGGTCATGTGCAGCTTACATTTTTAAAATGAAAGTTGAATCTAATTAAAGGGTTGCTTAAAATGAAAGTTAACCCAAAGGAAGAATAAATAACCAAGAACAAATTAGCAATAGGACATTGTGCTAGGTGGCATAAGACAGGAGAAAAAAATGTCAAAATGTAAATCCTGCCCTCAAAGAGTTTATAATCAAAAAGGTCAGATAACAGTAGCACACACCTGAAATTCCAGTACGTATGAGGACTGTGAGTTTGAGGCCAGCCTGGGCTATGTAGCGAGATCAAATTCAGCCTGGACTATATAGTGGGACTGTCTCAAAAAAAAAAAAAAAAAAAGGAAGAGCAAAAAAGGCCAGATGTGGTGGTACATGCCTGTAATCCAATCAATCACTCTAGGAGGCTGAGGCAGGAAGATTACAAGTTTTAGCCCTGCCTGGGCAATTTAGTGAATTAGAGAAACTGTGTCAAAAAATTTTTTTAAAAAACATTTTTTTAAATGGCTGGAGATGTAGCTCAGTACAAAGGTTCTGGGTTTAATCTCTAGTACCTCCCCCCACCCCAAAAAAAGAAATAAAAGAAAAAAAGGGAGGCCAGATAAGACATATGCATAGAAAGCTACAACACAAGGTAGAATGTGAAAAATATTAAAAGAAACCCACCCTAAGTATCTTTGGAGCTCAGAAGAGAATGGAGATTCATTTCCTTCTCCCAAGAAGCTGGAGGCAGGAGACCAAGCCAGAGGTTTATCTTGGGAACCATAAACCAGACTCCAAACATCTTAGAGGGGACCTGGATGGTCTAGACCACCCTCACTCCCTGTTCAGGTTAAACAGTGATTTTTAAATTGAAGTAACAAAAAAGAGGGGTCTGAGGACAAACAACAAAGGGGCTGTCTGGGAAGTAGATGAATTCAGCTTCGAGGCGTTGAGGTGCTAGCTGAGGCAACTTCCTTGCAAAAGGAGACTTTAAGGGCAGGAAGAGGATGAGATCAGACAGAGTGTGTCTGGGAAGAAGAGGGGTAAAACAGAAACTAAGGGTGCACCCACGTCTCAGGGAGTGGGAGGAGAAAGGGGTCAGAGGAGTGGCCAGAGAGCCAGGCGGGAATAAACCCAGCAGAACGCGTTGTTACGAAGTTTCGAGAAACAGGGTGGCAGGGGTGGAGGACGTGACAGGAGAAGGCAGCAAGAGAGAAGGGAGAAAACTGCAGCAACAGAGGCTGAGCTAGGACGTGAGGTTGCTGACGGCATTTCAGGGAATGGGGCTTTTCCAGAGACTCCACAAACGAGGTGGATTCCCTGTGCCTGGCACATTTGCAGGTGGAGTCCTCTCCGAGGCCTGGGGGAAGAGGGTGGTGTTCTCTGGCCTCCTAATGTCTGGTACTCAGCTCTATAATTAGCACCACTAGATACCGCGGAGCCAAACCTCTCCCAACCCTAACCAGTCCCTCCAGGAACTGAAAAGCTGAACTCACTTGAGAGGGATTTCACACCTGGCTCTCTGGCCCAGCCCGTAACGTCCCGTTTCATCATGCAGCCCTAGTGACTCTCCGGGCTGTCACTCTCGTCTGGTATTGCCAGCGGTATGACTAAAGCCTCTTGCAAAAGTTTGCAGCATTCGTCGGAGGCCGACTACAGCTCCCAGAGTTCCCGGGCGCTTCCCGAAGCCGATTGGCTGAACAGTTGGCTCCACAGGGAGGTGTATCCCCCGCCTCCCCGGGAAACAGGCGTCTGATTGGCTGCGCCTCGGGGCTTTTGTGTCCCCGCCCTCCCCCGGGGACCGCAGCGGGCTGAGAGGCACTGCTGGTGTCAGAGCCGGGCGAGCGCTGGCAGTTCCGCGGCGGGGATGCTGAGGAGCGCTGGGTCCGCGAGAAGCGCTGGCCACTGCGGACTTCCGAGGCACTCGCGCCCGTGAGAACCCCCGCGTCGCGGCCAATACCTGGCCCCCAAGACCATCTACTATTCCGAGAACCAGACTAGGAGAAGAGTCCAGCGCAGCAGCCGTCGTCCTCCGGATTGCGAGCGTCCTGGAACCCCTAGAGACACCCCGGAGTTCCAGAAGCTCCCCGGCGGCCCCAAGCCCCGGCTTCCTGCGAGCGCCGGTCCAAGACCCCCTCCAGTGCACCGGTCGTCTCCTCGCCGCGGCTGGGTCCGGCGCACACCATGATCGTTGCCGACCCGGAGTGCCGCTCCGATCTCAAGGGCTACCTGCCGTTCGCCCGGGGCGGCGTCGGAGACCCGGGGGCCGGAGAGGTAAGCGGCAACCGAGCGACGCCACACTTCCCGGAGCCGCGTTCGAGCCTCGGGCTGTCCGGAGCTGAGTCCGCGCGCCCCCCGGGCGCTGGGAGGGAGTGGAGCGCGTAAGCCCGGAGCTGGCTTGCATCAACCGCAGCCGCCCCTCGGCCCCTCCCCCTACCTCCCTCCC